TTGTACCCCTCCTGTGTGTTTGTACCCCCTCCTGTGTTGTACCCACCTCCTGTCTGTTTATACCCCCTCCTGTGTGTTTGTACCCCTCCTGTGTGTTTGTACCTCTCTGTGTTTGTACCCCATCCTGTGAGTTTGTACCCCCTCTTGTGTGTTTGTGCCCCCCTCCTGTGTGTTTGTGCCCCCCTCCTGTGTGTTTGTACCCCCCTCCTGTGTGTTTGTGCCCCCTCCTGTGTGTTTGTACCCCCCTCCTGTGTGTTTGTACCCCCTCCTGTGTGTTTGAACACCCGTCCCATGTGTTTGCACCCACCTCCTGTGTGTTTGTACCCCCCTCATGTGTGCTTGTACCCCCTCCTCCTGTGTTGTACCCACCTCCTGTGTGTTTTATACCCCCTCCTGTGTGTTTGTACCCTCTCCTGTGTGTTTGTACCTCCTGTGTGTTTGTACCCCTCCTGTGTGTTGCACCCACCTCCTGTGTGTTTGTACCCCCTCATGTGTGTGTACTTACCTCCTCTGTGTTGTACCCACCTCCTCTGTGTTTGAACACCCTCCTGTGTGTTTGTACCCCCTGTGTGTTTGTGCCCTCCTGTGTGTTTGCACCCCATCCTGTGTGTTTGTGCCCCTCCTGTGTGTTTGTACCCTCCTGTGTGTTTGAACACCTGTCCAGTGTTTGCACCCAACCTGTGTGTGTTTGTACCCTCCTGTGTGTTTGTACCCCTCCTGTGTGTTTGTACCCCCTCCTGTGTGTTTGTACCCTCCTGTGTTTGTACCCCATCCCAGGAGTTTGTTTGTACCCTCCTGTGTGTGTTTGTGCCCCTCCTGTGTGTTTGTACCCTCCTGTGTGTTTGTACCCTCCTGTGTGTTTGCACCTCCTGGGTGGTTGCACCTCCTGTGTTTGCACCCCTCTCCTGTGTGTTTGTACCCTCCTGTGTGTTTGTACCCATCCTGAGTGTTTGTAGCCCTCCTGTGTGTTTGCACCCCTGTCCTGTGTGTTTGTACCCTCCTGTGTGTTTGTATTCCTCCTGTGTGTTTGTAAGTCCCTGCCCTGTGTGTTTGTACCTCTCCAGTGTGTTTGTACCTGTCTGTGTGTTTGTAAGTCCCTGCCCTGTGTGTTTGTACCCTCTCCAGTGTGTTTGTACCTCCTGTGTGTTTGTACCCCTCCTATGTAATTGTACCTCCTCCTGTGTGTTTGTACCCCCCTGTGTGTATGTACCCACCTCCTGTGTGTTTGTATCCCGCCCTGTGTGTATGTACCCACCTCCTGTGTGTTTGTACCCCTTCCTGTGTGTTTTTTCTCCCTCTTGTGTGTTTGTACCCCTACCTGTTTGTTTGTACCCCCTCCCTGTTTGTTTATATCCTGTCCAGTGTTTTTATATCCCACCCTGTGTGTTTATATCCCGTTCTTTGTGTTCTTGCCCCTTCCTGTGTGTTGGGGGGGAAGAAATTACTTGGTACTGACAAGAGCTGAGGTCTCTCTCTCTCTCTCTCTCTCTCTCTCTCTCTCTCTCTCTCTCTCACTCTCTCTGGTCCTAAGTGAGAGTCTGCATAATGCAAAACATTGATGCGCACGTCACAATTCTTTTGGTAACTGAAGAAGAAGCAAAGTAGTGTAAGTGTAAAGTCAGATATAAAAAAAGAGAAAGAAATTATGTTCACCATATATAGGATGAACGGAAAGGGTGGCAGAGCTGTAGGGTGGGTGGAGAGGCTGAGGGGGGTGAGCTGTAGGGGTGGGTGGAGCAGAGCAGAGCTGGGTAGGGTGGCAGAGGTGGGTGGTGGAGAGGGTGGCAGAGCTGTAGGGTGGGTGGGAGAGGGTGGCAGAGCTGTAGGGTGGGTGGGCAGAGCTGGAGAGGGTGGCAGGTGGTGGCAGAGCTGTAGGGTGGCAGAGCAGGGTGGGTGGAGCTTAGGGTGGGTAGCAGAGGTAGGGTGGGTGGAGAGGGTGGCAGAGCTGTAGGGGTGGGTGGAGAGGTGGCAGAGCTGTAGGGGTGGGTGGAGAGGGTGGCAGAGCTGTAGGGTGGGTGGAGGGGTGGCAGAGCTGTAGGGTGGGTGGAGAGGGCAGAGCTGTAGGGTGGGTGGAGAAGTTGACAGAGCTGTAGAGGGGTGGGTGGAGGACAGAGCTGTAGGTGGGTGGGAGTGCAGAGCTGGGGTGGGTGGAGTGTGGCAGAGCTGTAGGGGTGGGTGGAGAGGTGGCAGAGCTGTAGGGGTGGTGGAGAGGGTGGCAGAGCTGTAGGTGGGTGGAGGTGGCAGAGCTGTAGGGGTGGGTGGGAGAGTGGACAGAGCTGTAGGGTGGGTGGAGAGAGGGTGGCAGAGAGGGTGGCAGAGCTGGGAGAGGGGTAGAGGTAGGGTGGGTGGAGAGACTGGCAGAGCTTAGGGTGGGTGGAGAGGGTGGCAGAGCTGTAGGGTGTGGAGAGACTGGCAGAGCTTAGGGGTGGGTGGGAGAGGGTGGCAGAGCTGTAGGGTGGGTGGAGAGGGTGGGTGGCAGAGCTGTAGGGTGGGTGGAGAGGGGTGGCAGAGCTGTAGGGTGGGTGGAGAGGGCAGAGAGGGTGGGTGGAGGGTGGCAGAGCTGTAGGGTGGGTGGAGAGGGTGGCAGAGCTGTAGGGTGGGTGAGAGTTGACAGAGCTGTAGGGTGGGTGGAGAAGGACAGAGCTGTAGGGGTGGGTGGAGTGAGCTGTAGGCAGTGGTTGGCTGTATGGTAGGTGGAGAGGGTGGCAGAGCTGTAGGGGTGGGTGGAGAAGGACAGAGCTGTAGGGTGGGTGGAGACAGAGCTGTACAGAGCTGTGTGGCAGAGAGAGGGTGGTGGAGAGGGTGGCAGAGCTGTAGGGTGGGTGGAGAGGTGGCAGAGCTGTAGGGTGGGTGGAGAGGGTGGCAGAGCTGGGTGGTTGGCAGAGCTGTAGGGTGGGTGGCAGAGCTGTAGGGTGGGTGGAGTGGTTGGCAGAGCTGTAGGGTGGGTGGAGTGGTTGGCAGAGCTGTAGGGTGGGTGGAGTGGGTGGCAGAGCTGTAGGGTGGGTGGAGTGGTTGGCAGAGCTGTAGGGTGGGTGGAGTGGGTGGCCGAGCTGTAGGGTGGGTGGAGTGGTTGGCAATTATTTTTTTTTTTCCACTTACAGCGGCTATTTTATTGTGCATTCCAAACTTATCCTGTTAGCGGTAGCGCAAAAAGATTACAGAGCAGAGTTCACAAAGGGTGTGTAGAACAGTCCCTTTTGTCAGTATATAATGGCATTCAATGGTACAGAGTATTTCAAATACAGTCTTTATTTACTTTTGTACATAGAGGGCGATTTATTTGCAAATGTGTAAGTACCGCAGTGTGAGGCAATATGTCTGGCCGCACACTTTGCTATTCACTTTTGCATGAGAGTTATTCAAGCACATTGTGTGTTTGGTTCTATACATGGCAATTAATATTTTTCTTCAATGTCTTTTTTGTTTTGTTTTATCGGTTGCAAATTTTACTGATAACAGCGAAATATGAGTAAATTATATTCATACTAGATCAACTCTCATTTTATACTACGTGTCTAATAGACCAGTTATTACTTTAGCGTCACATTTGATCGCAATACTCACTTTGAACACCTCGTCTCCCCGTCCATATAACAACAATGTGTGTGTGGTAGATGAACCAGGCCCTGCTCGTGGCCCATGCCCTTGGTGACGTCAGTAAGGTCAACCTCTTAACAAAGCCCATGACAACGACCCGTGGTGTATAATATATATATATATATATATATATATATATATATATATATATATATATATATATATATATATATATATATATATATATATATATATATATATATATAACTACGAGCTGTTGTTCATGAGCTGGACACCTTACCAGGAAGCGGGCGGTAACCGACCTCCACAGACTCGAGCGTTTTGTTTACTTACATTCCACCTCATGTTTAGCGTATTGCTCCTGTACTATTCAGTCTTACTGGGGTATTCTACATCACTATCGGAGAAGAGTAGCAAACGCAATGTTGGGATGCACAATATATTGACAAGAAACACCAACAACCAGTAATAATTAAGCATGAACAATCACCACAATCATACAACAGAGTTGCATAAATATAAAACAATACCCTAACAATCACCATAATCCTACCACATAGAAATATACATAAATATTACAAACTTACATTACATTCTAAGCCAGAGTAACACAATTTGTTATCAACCAAAACTGGCTCCGCCGACCACCAACCACCGGCTCCACACCCTCGTCCGTCGTGGAATGCTCTGCCCTTCTCCCTCGTGCACCGCTTCATTACAACTCCGTTCGAGATCTGAACAACACAGAAGCGGAGCTCCGGGGAGCCTAACCATGAGCCCAAGCTTTGGGCCATCCAATGTATCCATGATCCATGACTCGAGGTCCGGAACATCGAGTCGGGAGATCGAGTAACGGATGGTGGAGCAGTGGTCGTGCAACAGCCAAACACAGGTCGATGGTCAGGTATCAGTCGGGTCCTCAAGCATATTCTATATCAAGCTTCGTAATTCCTCCTTTTTTAAAGAAAAAAAGAGGTGTCATTAGACATCCTTTTCTTTTTTACAATAGATGTGTTCAATATAGAATCTGCACATATCACTGGTTTATACAAACAATATAACTGATAAAATAAATCACCATAAAACATAATTACCAAAAATCCTTCACCAACACTCTAATGTGTAATTAAGATAATATTAGTAAACTTCGAAAACACACTGTGAAATTTGGAGATTATAACATACACCAAAATTGTCAACTTCAGTCTTATTCTGCAATATGAAGTTGAAAATGTCGAAACAATTAATCTCAGCCTCTGGACAAAATATCCGCCAATACATTTTCTTTACCTTTGATGTGGCAGATATCAAGGTTATATCTTTGCAACTCCAGACTCCACCTTAAGACTCTTTGATTCTTATTACTCATTCGCTCAAGAAAAGTCAATGGATTATGATCAGTGAACATCTTTACACGGTGTTTAGCAGGATATATATAAATCTCAAAGTGCCTTAGTGCCATGATGAGCCCTAGTGTTCTGGTCAATGATGGACCCCAAGTACTTTTCACACATACTCCTGTACTTGGCCAGCTGCCGCTCATCAGCTCGGTACAGACGATCGACTCTGGGAGGTTGACAGTCCCTGCATTGCCGAAAGCTGTGGTCGTTCTGGTCCTGCGTCCTCCAAGAATGAGGGAAAGTGGACAGGAAGTACCCGAGCGGGTGCACGTCAACCTGCCTGCTAGTGAAGTCATCAGCATCGTAGAAGTTGAAGGGTCCACACAGACCATCCAGGTTGTCTGCGTGTGTGGGGTGAGCCCACATGTCCAGACGATGGCGGGAGTGCTGCACCATAAGCTTGGAGGTGCCTAATAACATAGTACACTGGCCGTTGCGCCACGCCAGAACAGAGTGAACTTTGGATGAACACAGCACTTGTTCCGCCCCAATAACAGGCACCGTGTAGGGGTCGCCGTTCACCAGTAGATTGAACACGCTGGCGTCCAATGATATCACAGTGTGCTTATCGTCCTTGAAAGTGGTGTGTTCGAGGCAGGAAGGACCCCAAAACACGGCTCTAAGTCACTGAAGACACCAGCCTCGGGGTCATAAGTCATGTCAGTCTGAGCCATGGAGTAGTTACTGTAGCCATGCCAGTCGTACTGGTGACCGTCGAAGGTGAAGAAGTGGGAGTCGTCATGTATACAGCAGTGTTTACAGCAGTCGTCTATGTTACCTCTGGGCAACCACCCCTTCCTGGTACACTGCATCACTACACAATGACCAGACAGCTCTGCTCCCTCACCGTACAACAACCCATCAAACTCACAACAGTGGTTTGTGTCGGGGTCACCCAGGAAGTGAGGGAGGATCTTGCCGTTGTTACACACTAATTGGAGACATTTGCTGGGTAGATTGAACACCACCTGGCCGTGATCCACCACGGTGTCGTTGAAGCAGCAGCCAGCCTGTGGTCGTGGTCCGATACCAATATTTGCACTAATCACCACAGGTCCTACCCCATGGTGTGCCACAGCCAGCGTCTGGAACGCTAGTAACAACACACACGGCCTCATACTCATGTCGCCTGCTGCACACCTTACAAGCCGCACAGTGTGTCAATCATCCTCAGCAGAGATCTCTGGTGGTCTCCATTTACGCATTAATACGCCACTCTTCTTATAATACCCCGTGGGGACATCTGATACTTCATGTTCTGTTAGAGCTAATCTCAGCCATCCTACTTAATTCTGGGTCCTTTTTTTGCTGATCTAACACTTTCATCTTTCATCCTCTCCACAGGGGAGGTACTTAGCTCATCCTCAACTACGCTGGTATCAGTTTCGTGATTAAATAATGCGATCATTTCCTCACTAGTAATTGTTTCTAACACACCGTCACATACTTGAGGATTTTTAGATTGTTCTTGACTCACTGGGGCTGCCATGTCCGTGTCAGGCTTCGGGTTCTCCTGAATGACATACTCTGCCCTTTTCCTCATTGCTCTGGTAATAGCACAGGCAGGAAACACACCTTGTTCAGCTGCCTCCATCTGATCACTGCTGTCACTTAGGTCTGGGACGCTCAAAACAATAGGATTATGGTTGTACTGTAGAACACCTTATCTCCTGCCAAATCATTTGCAAGAATAAATGATACACCACCAATGGGTAATTTTGGCACCAATCCCACGGTTACATTCCGGACTTATCTGATAATGGCAATATACCTTCTAACATCAAAGACTGCATGGCCCCCGTATCTCTCAAAATAACCACAGGTTTCTTACTATCTTCATTACCCACCAGGGAGACTCTACCCTCTGAACTAAAAGGCTTAAATTCTACCTCAACATTCTGTACACATTATGAATCTTTTCTAGGGAACTTTACATTGTATGAATTCTTTATACTGGCAAGAGCTGTTGGAGCATCCTTGGACTCTTTGTCTTTAAGAAGCCAACAATTACTTATTGTATGACCCAATACTTTATAGTTAAAACATCTTACTGGCTTTCTTTTATCAAAAACAGAACTCAGGCGAGAGCTGGTAGTGTTTTCCTTAAAATAACTTCGCTTACCTGTGGGCGGAGACGATTGTGGCGAGGCGTTACTCTTTACAAAGTTACTAGGTAGTTTGTGTATGAGAGAATAATCCTCTGCCAAACGGGCTGAATCCTCTAGGGCAGTGATCCTCAAACTGGGGTCCGTGGCACTTAGCTAGGGGGTCCGCGAAAAGTTTTGAGAAAGGTGCGTTTAACGTTTGTGAGAGATTTGGTGATTCCAATTCGCAGGATATTTTGGTTTTGGGTTGAAATGAACAAATGTTTTGGATTATGATTTATTCTTTTATTATTGAAAATATTTGTATGCGTCATGGTATATAGGTACTATAAATTGCCATTATATATATATATATATATATATATATATATATATATATATATATATATATATATATATATATATATATATATATATATATATATACTGTATATATATATATATATATTTTTTTTTAGCAAGCTGACCAGACTGGATAGACTTCCTTGTTGGGTATGCTATAACTGATCCATGTCGTCTATTATTAGCACTAAGTTTAGTGGGGTTTTTGCGTTCTGTTGCAAATGCTGAAAAGGTTGCATTGCACTATTAATATTAACTTTGTGTTGTTTTACCGTTTGATATGCAAATTAAACATGAAACACCAATCTAATCTATTAAGTGAAGTTGGACACACACTCTCATGGCAGCCTTGAGGGAGGGAATGTGGAGGCAGGTGAGGTATAGTATTATCTCAATTTCATTGTCATTCACAGCAGGCTACTACTCATGATGTTATGTTTATTTTATATGTCAATTGTTTGCATCCACAGTCTTTTATGGCAACTTAAACCAAGTTTGTTTAACCTTCCCATATTTGATCCCAGTAATTAGCATATTTATACACCAAACTTTAAGAAGATATATATATCGTTTCAGACAATTCCATCTCATGTGCTCCTAGTCGCGAGCCGTGAGCGTGCCTGGTAGTAACAACAGTGACTCACAGCGGGCAGCCTGGTATCGTCCCCAGCTAGCTAACTGTCATCATGGGCAAGTTTGTAAAACGACTGGCATCCAACGTTACAAGTGAACTTGAAGAACCATCAAAATCGTCAAGAAAAGTCAGTAAATATGACGATAGTTATATTGAATTCGGCAGGAGGGGAGAAGTGATAAATGGTAAGAGGGGAGAAGTGATAAATGGCAGTGAAGAAATAAGCAAAGCATTGAACAGCTACTTCTTATCAGTTTTCACAGAGGAAATTCGAGATGAAATTCCAGAGGTGGAACTGATATTTAAGGGAAAGGAAGAAGAGAAATTAAAGAATATCACTATCAGAAAAGAGGATGTTCTTAAGAAGATAAATAAACTAAAGAAGACAAAATCCCCAGGGCAGGATGAAATTTTCCCTCGAGTCTTGAAAGAGTGTAAGGAACAGATTAGTGGACCCCTCGTAAACTTATTTACAAAATCATTAGACAGAGTTGTGCCAGACTTGTGGAAACAGGCAAATGTAGTACCCATATTCAAAAAGGGAGACAGAGCATCAGCGTCAAATTACCGGCCGATCAGTTTGACGTCAGTAGTGGGGAAATTTCTTGAATCAATTATAGCAGATAACATCCGATCGCATTTAGAGAAAAGCAAATTAATCTACGACTCTCAACATGGGTTTACAAAGGGAAAATCTTGTCTAACAAATCTGCTGACATTTTGTAGGAAAGTCTTCGAGGTAGTAGATAATGACGAAAATTACGATGTTATTTACTTAGACTTTAGCAAAGTATTTGACAGAGTACCGCATCAGAGGCTTCTGAGAAAAATTAAGGCTCATGGTATCGAGGGGAAAGTTTTAAATTGGATAAAATCATGGCTCACCGATAGAATGCAGAGGGTCAGCGTAGATGATGTTAAATCTGAGTGGGGCCGTGTAACCAGTGGGGTTCCCCAGGGGTCAGTACTAGGCCCACTCTTGTTCATAATCTACATAAACGATCTAGATACTGGGATCAGCAGTGACATAAGCAAGTTTGCGGATGGCACCAAAATAGGGCGGCAGATTAATTCAGGGCAGGATGCAAATGAATTACAGGAGGATCTAAATAAACTGCAGGGGTGGTCTGAAAAATGGCAAATGAAATTCAACACCAGCAAGTGCAGCGTACTTAATATTGGAAGAACAAATACTGTCAATGTATACAGCCTTAACAACATCAACCTAGAGAAGTCGACTTGTGAAAGAGACCTAGGGGTACTTGTAAGCCCGGACCTACGGCCTAGAAAACAGTGCGTTAATGTTCGAAATAAGGCAAACAGAGTATTCGGTTTTATATCTAGAAGTGTAAGTAATAAGAGTGCAGAGGTCTTATTGCAACTATATCCTGCGCTAGTCAGGCCACACCTCGATTATGCAGTTCAGTTCTGGTGCCCTTATTATAGAATGGATATCAATTCACTAGAGTCGGTGCAGCGAAGAATGACGAAAATGATTCCGGGACTTAGAAACCTTCCATATCAGGATAGGTTAAAGAAACTTAACTTGCATTCCCTAGAAAGACGAAGAGTGCGGGGAGATATGATAGAAATATTCAAGTGGGTGAAAGGAATCAATAAAGGTGATATAGATAAAGTTCTTATAATATCCGAGCAGGATAGGACTCGGAACAACGGATTTAAGTTGGATAAGTTTAGGTTTAGGAGGGAGATAGGAAGGAACTGGTTTACAAATAGGGTGGTGGACGAGTGGAACAAGCTTAGCAACTTTGTAGTAGGTGCTGGAACGCTGGAAAGTTTCAAAAGGAGGCTGGATATATTCATGGATGATAGAGAGTGGTAGTAACTCTCGACAGGAGCTGCCATGCACAGGCCAACCGGCCTATTGCAGACTCCTTATTTTCTTATGTTCTTCTTATGTAAGGACGGGAGACCGAAGTGTGTCATCTGCATGCAGGTGCTTTCAAACGATGCTTTGAAGCCTCCTAAACTGAGGAGACATCGCAATACGAACATCCGGATTGTGCTCAGAAAAGCAGGTCCTTTTTTGAGCGTAAGAGAGAGGTGTACTGCCGACAACAAACTACGATGACAAGTTTCACCACCATTCCCCAGAAGTCACAGCGGGCTTCCTACCTGACAGCGCAGAGGATAGCCAAAAGCAAGAAGTCCCACATGATCGGGGAGGAGCTGATGCTCCCAACTGCGGTGGAGATGTGAGGTGATGATCGGGAAAGAGGCCGCAAGCAAACTTAAATCTGTACCTCTCCCAAACGACACAGTATGAAGGAGGATTGAAGACATGTCCTGTGACATAAAATCGCAACTTGTGGCAAGATTGAAAACGTGTCATTTTTCAATTCAGCTCGACAAGTCCACCTACGTGTTAAATTCCGCCTAGTCTAAACAAACCAAAGCTAACCAAACTAAATCCATCCATTCAGATGTAACTAAAGTAAACCTAACCAAACCAACTAAACTAAACAAGACCTAAACAAACTAAATCTAACCCAACCAAATCAAACTTAACCTAACCAAACTAAGCCTAACCGAATCATACCTATCCCAACCAAACCAAACTTAATTCAAACTATAATAATCCAACCAATCTAGACATAACCCACTCAAACCTAACCTATCCTAACCCAACGAAACCAAATCTAACCTAATCCAACCAAACCTAATCCAACGTCAGCTTGACGCTGTTCAGCAGCCGGCGACATCGAGGAATCCAAAAATTTTGTCATAAACAAGTACTGACCTCGCTAGAGAAGAGTCATAATCAAGTACTGACCTCGCTAGAGAAGAGTCATAATCAAGTACTGACCTCGCTAGAGAAGAGTCATAAACAAGAAGTGACCTCGCTAGAGAAGAGTCATTAACAAGTACTGACCTCGCTAGAGAAGAGTCATTAACAAGTACTGATCTCGCTTGAGAAGAGTCATAAACAAGTACTGACCTCGCTAGAAAAGTCATAAACAAGTACTGACCTCGCAAGAGAAGTCATAAACAAGTACTGACCTCACTAGAGAAGAGTCATAAA